AAAGAGTGGGTTTTCCCACAGGTAAACAGAGAGCACCAACACTGTTCACAGAGTTTAGAGCTCAACAGGCAGGAGACAAGCTCAGCGTATGAAATCCATGTCATCTTGCAGAAATGAACCCTCATTCACTGGGATACATTTAAACTGACACAGACTGACTAAAATTCTTGTATCTCAACTAAACCCATGAAAACCAAACATTTCAAACATATAACAGCTGTGCTGCACACACTGAGTACCATTTAAACCACACTGCCACAGCTGTTTCTCATCTCTGCACTGGTGTAAAACAGACAGGACATTCTCAAGACGTCAAAGACAATGTAGTGAAGTGTTGGTTACAAATATTCATTTGAAATCAACTTTATCATATCTGTTTTCAACTAATTTGTTAATATAGTCATTAAAAACCCAAACTCAGAGCAGACTGATGAGTTATTTCACCTGCTGTAGACTGATCTGGTAAGAAATGAGGATTTCCCACATGGAAATACATTTTGTATGTGAAGTTGTTTTTTTTACCTGCTGCCACTTTTCACTTTCAGCCTGGATGCAGGGAGTGTCATAAATGGCTCTGTAGTGCTTGCAGATGGAGAGGTAGGAGCCCTCATGCTGATCCAGCTGGATCATTAAGTTGTAGTATTTCAACTTTAGTTTCTGAAACAGTTTCAAACAGTCCAATTAATACAGATCCATGAATCCTGCAAATGAAATCCAACTGAACCCCAGAAAACAGAAGGATTTAAATACACTTGGACTGAAGAGAGGCACTTGAGGTTAAAATTCAGAGGTGAGGAGGGAGGGAGGGAGAAATCCCCTAAAGACTTACTTCTGTGTTTTCTTCTTGAAAAAATTTTGTATTAATTTTTTTGCTGATAATCTGAGTCCGAATATAATCTTTTACAGCTAGGCAGAGTCTCATCTGCTCCAGGATAAATTCTACACGTTCTTTCTTTTCCATTGAACCATAGGTTTCCACCTGAAATGAAAACGTAACTATTAGACACTGTCAAAGTCAAATCAAACAAAGTCTTAATTGTGCCAAGAGAATGGGAGGTGTGGGAAACAGGACATCAAAACAAAACACCACCAAAAAAAGCTATTTCAGAGCAAGTGAAAATAGAGGAAAGGTTATTCCATTTTAAATTACAGTCCTCACTAACACCAAAGAATCCACTAACACTGAAGTCGATGCACCAGTTGAAGAATGAAAATCTACTTACCAAATGGAAAATATTCCACATGAGGCTGACAAAGGCAGTTAAAACTGAATTACACTTTCATTAACAACTGTTCATCCCATCCCAGGCACTTCTGCAGATGTGCCTGATTCACTTTCTACACAACAATCCAAGAGGAGTCAGAATTAGTTGCTGTTGCTGAGGCAGTGCTGAGTGCCAAGGCATTACCTGCAGCTCCTGCAGGATGGAGGCAGCTTCCTTCACCTCTCCATTCTGCTCCTTTATCGTGGCGAGTGTCTTGGTCAGGCGAGCGCGCTCGATCTCCACGTAGATCTGAAACCAGCAGCAGTGTCAGCACTGGACTGCTCAGAGTGCAGCCCCTGAGCCTGCAGCCCCTGGCACACACTGCTGTGCCACACAGCTGATTGCTCCTGCAGCCACACACCACACCAACACCACCCACAATACACACGGATAAAACACGAGGCACAGGCGACACAGCAAAAGTGTTTGGACCAAATCAGTCTTAAAAACAATGCCTAAATTCATCACCATCACATCCATAAAAGGATGTACACCTTAAAAACAATGCCTAAATTCATCACCGTCACATCCATAAAAGGATGTGAATCAAGGATTAGGTATTTTCTCTGCTGAGTTATATTGAAGCAGACTGAAGTTATACTCCAGTGGTTAATACATACTGAGTACTGTCCTTGCACTGTTCCACTCACTCTAACCAGTCATTAATCAACAACACTTGATTACTAGCAATTCAGACTAACTTTGAATAGGCAAAAGTCATAACATTAATCCAAATTTTCCTTAATCCAGAGTTGTTTCTTTTCTTAAAGCAGAAGGAACACACTGTAAATAACTTACTTGGTATAATGCTTTGGTATCATATTCTGGTTACCTCAACTGTATTTAACACCTTGGTAAGTGCAGGAAAAACTAAAATGAACCTGCCCATTCCTCTAACAAATTCGTAGTATTTTTAAAAGTGAAAAAGGCATGTTAGAACTCCAAATATCAGAGACATGCCCAGTGTTTCAGCACATGATTTAACTATGACAGCTGGGAAATATTTGCAGTGTTTCACAAAGAAATTCCCTCCTTGGCTTCTCAGGGTAATTTAAACATTACTTTTGCTCTTAGCTGAACAAGATTAAAAAAACACTGTTAAGAAGCCGTGCTTTTAAAGAAGGGGAAGACTTTTATTCCACCTTTGAGACAGTCTTAAAACAAAGCCTTACTTTTCCTTCCGTGACCATTCGCAACGTGTCGATTAGGCGCAGTTTGACTGGTAAGTCTGTGATGTCTTCCACGTAGGTGCAGCACTGCTGGACCATTTTAGCAACTGCCTGGTACAAAAACAGCAAGGGAACACGTACTGTGGCTTGAGATTGTTTTCAAGCTGTAACACTCAGAGGTAAGTAATAGTTTCGTATCGAACTGAAGAGACTCATTCCAACAAAAAGCACACGAGGTACATCTCTCTGACTCCTAAAGGTGTGTAAAATGGTGCTACTGACTGATGCTGTTCTGTCATCTCTTTCATTTCAGTTTTTCCAGTGCTTTCCAGTGAAATTCCTGACTGATGCTGTTCCTTCAGTGGTAAGCACAAGTGTTGGAACATGTTCTGCTACTAACACTGACAGAGCAGTGTTATTATTAAATAGCTACTACTAAATAAAACCAGAATGAAATTTCTAGAAACTTCAAGACGCTCCTCAAATTCAGCTGAAATGATCCAAGCCTTTGGCTGCATCTGTGCAAGTCAGAGAACTCAACTGTACTCGAGTTTCATACACACTCCTAATGTTTCTGCACATGAAAAGATAGCTAACCTTTTTCTTCCTAAAGCAACGAAGCCATTAAAATTGCCTGACTTCTAATTAAGTGCAATAAACTTCTCACTTTCTTAAATGCAAGTGCTTTCAGCTATGCTGACAGCTGATTTCTCAGACAGAACTCCTTTCCAAAGTCTGACAGTTTGAAAGCAGGTAAAGCACACACTTGGCATGAGCACAATGAATTGCAGGAGCTCTGTTTAATGCACAGCTGAACATGACAAATTCAGAATACGTGTCCAGTCCAGGCTGTGCAGAGTGTGGAGATGAACCACCATCCAAGGGCCCTGAATGTACCCAAGCACAACAGGCACAGCTGTGCTGCTAAGGGCAAGGCTGGACCACTGGAGCTCAGGCACAAGGTGAACACAGACCAACTCCAGACATCAGTTTCACTATGGATTTCCTGTCTACCAAAAAACACCAACAGAGGCTACTGCCAATAGGTTCAGGCAGGTGCTGCAGAGCCAGCAAAGTCCCTACACACAAGGAGGAATCAGGTATGTAATACAGCTCCAAATACAGTGGGTTTTTCGTTTCAAGGGATTAAATTCACCTGTTTTAACTGACTTCTTCTCTTTGATAGAAGAATAATATTTTCATTAAGAGCATCCCAGTCTTTAGCTTCGTAACACATTTTCACTATGGCAACTAAGATTCTGGAGGTGGAGACCATGTCAGACGCCTGGAAGAAACAAACAGCACATTAGGGAGGGGACAAACAGCCTGCAGCCCTCCAGCACTTACAGCACTACTGTGTCTAGCCTCATTGATTAGCTTCCCAAAGACAAGGCTGACTGATACTCCAAGCCCCTTCACAGCTTGGGTGCAGTGGAACCAGGGTGTGTAGAGGACCCAGGGGCACACACCACTCACCGTCCGTGTCTGCTTCTCCAAGGAGAGAAGGTTTTCAATGACTTCTTGCAATCTTCCTTCCTAATAAGACAAAGAATCACCTCCATGAGTGAAGAATTCATAACACAACATAATTCAGTTTAAACTGAGAGCAGCTCTAATTTTCACGGAAGTAAAACACACAGACCATCCCATACACTCATTTTTTATTTTTTTTAACCAAAAATAAAGGAGACACACAAAGCACCAACTCTAGACACAGAGACTGAACTGGAGAGGTACTAGTGCCATTTTTGCACAACACTTGCTCTAAGTTGTCTGCCCTGGGAGAGAAACCTGGCAAGTTCCAGACAGGTTTGGTGAGCTCACTGTGCTGCATGGAAGACTCATTTCTGCCCTGGCGAAAACAAAGCTGTAAGTGAGACCAGATATGCAATTAAATACCTTGGCCAAAAAATTGTTCTACTATTACTTTCATCCACACTCATAATATCTTAATTACAGTGTCTTACAGAAAGCACAAACTACATGTTCTGCAGTCTAAACATGGAATTGTAATAGTCCTGCTTTTTGGGGGGTTTGGGGCACTCTATTTGCCTTTGCTTAAAGAAGTTAAAGATACCACAATGCACTTTTATCCCTAAATTCTAATTCCTAGCAAACACCTTGTAAAACAAATGCTACCATGGGTGAATTTGTAACAGCCTATGGCAACAGCGAGGCTGCAAAAAACTGCATGAAACTAGAAAGTAAGTGACAAAACAAAAAATATTCACTGTTAGGGTGTTCAGGCATTGGAATATTGCCCAGGGAGGTGGTGCAATCACCAACTCTGGAGGTGTTTGAGGCATCTGAACCTGGTGTTGGGTGATATGGTTTAGGGGTTACAGTGGTAGTGTTGGTGGATGGCTGGACTTGATGACCTTAAAGGGCTCTTCCAACCCTGAAGATTCTATGACTTTAAAACAGAAAAAAATTGAACTTGTTTCTGAAACATCCCTGTCCTTTCAGACCACACAATGTGCTCTTACTGCCACAAAATGTGTATGTTGTGCAGGATGAAACGTAGCCATGGTGTCCACATCTTCTGAGCTAAAGGGACAAACACCTGTGCCCGCTCTCCATACAAGTCTTAAGACAGCCTAAGATGCAACTGACTTATCTTCAAACTTCTGCCTTCAGATCTGCACCACTTGCTGTAAGCACAGCACAGTTTTTACAAGGAGACACGTGGAGCAAGCAGAGCACCTGCAGCAAGCAGAGTCAGGTGCATCCTGCTGGGACAGCACACCACAGCAACACCAGCGTGTCAGAGGGATGTGCTCTAGGATGACTCTGCTTGAGCAGGGACAAGACGATCCACTGTGGTCCCCTCCAACCTGACCCATCCTGTGATTCTGTGTCTGTTCTGAGCTCTGAGATGCACAGGAACCTCCACACTACAGAACAACTCCTTGAAAAAACAGCCCTTAAGACACACCACATGCACAGTCACCTCTACGACCCCATCAGCAACACGTCCTGTTCATGCCTGGGCACACAGTGGTGTTTGCTGAGCTCAGCACCTGCCACAGCTCTGCCCCTTTGCTCCTGTTCTTTGGGGCTCACACACAGCACAGCTCAGGGATGCCAAGTGCTGCCTCTCCCACCTGACCCAGCACCAGTCACACCAAGGCAGCTCTGCTGAACAGCAGGCCCAGGATGAACAAGCAGTTCTGGTGTTCTCAGCATAAGAAGGTTAGGGAACTGTTGGAGCAAGTCCCGAGGAAGCCAAAATGTTGCTAAGAGCATCTCCTCCATGGACACAGGCTGAGGGAGTTGGGGCTGTTCAGCCTGGAGAAGAGAAGGTTGTGTGGAGATCTCAAAGCAACCTACCAGGAGCTGGAGGGGCTCCAGGGAAGCTGAAGAGGGACTCTGTGTTGGAAACTGCAGTGACAGGACAAGGGGTAATGGGGATAAATTGAAAGAGGGGACTTTAGATCAGATATGAGTAGGTTTCCGCTGTGAGGGTGGTGAGACACTGGCACAGGGTGCCCAGGGAGGCTGTGGCTGCCCCAACCCTGGCAGTGTTTCATTCCAGGTTGGATGAGCCTTGAGCAACCTGCGCTGGTGGGAGGAGTCCCTGCTGGGTACCCAGGGCTGGGTAATCTCTAAATTCCATTCCAACCCCTTAATACTCCGTGATACTGTGACAAACGACTCCGCGCTGCCCGCGGGCAGTGCCAGCACGGAAGAGCCACATCCCTCGCGGTGTCCTCACACTCTCCGTCCCGCACTCACCGACACCT